CTTATGGGAAACGTGTGGCCAAATCCGCACGCTTCAATTGCCACGAGCAGCGCCAAAGAGGCCCACTCGCATTATCGCTCCACTGTCCCCCATGTCGACTTCAAATAGGCTCCACATTGTGTCAAACACTTCAAAATGAAGAAGCATCTGCAATTTCACAGCACTCTTATTCCACCTAAATGCTGATAACTTTGTCAAGGCTCAGAAACGAAAAATTTGTTACGTCATCACACACGAGCAGACAGAAATCAGTTGGCATCTGCGTAAGTCCGCCACACCATTTCTCGCTTTTTGCATTTCGTTAGAGGTCAAGTGATTGCAAAAACACTCATTTCCAGTCGGTCCCCACTCCCCCAACCTTGACACTAGCGAGGTCATCGATGTCTTGACATCACATTAAAGCACAAATTCACACAACCCTCCCAGCCACATTACCCTTAGACACCATACTACTTATTTGTGTGAGTAGCACCACCCAACCGTAATGAAAGCCTGCACAACGGAAATGAGTAAATGGATTTGTTAAGTGAATAAAAGGGACAATGGTTCAAATAACTCATTGCAGCCCAACATCTGCCGATTAATGCATGGATGGAGAGAGGATGAATGCAGGCAAGCAGAGACAAATCAAAGCTAAGAAGTAAAGTCCCTGTTAGGGAAGAGAGTAGGTGCAACCAGAGTCCACACGTAGAGAGCCACACACGCCCAGCTGGTCGCTGCCTTGACCCAAAAACTCGCGTAATTTGCTGAAAGTAGACCCGTGTGCTTGTCCGGCTGATACCAATTGGTGATTGACATCATAACAAAGAGTGTTGCCAACAGCATCATGAAGTAAAACATGGCGTAACTGTAGGCCACTTCGTCACTCTCGTCGTCCCACACCTTGTGGCTCGACCCGTCCGCAGCACCGTTTTCCGCATTCACTTGATCTGACGTACCCTAGCAATACATGAAGGTAAACATCCTTCATGCCTTTCGCATTTTCTTCGCATGATGAGCGCTTAGCAAGCCCCACATCACTTTCGCATGACCAATCAATTGGCAATTAGTTCAAATTTTCTAACAGTCATGTTCAATTGGGTGATCAAGTCATTCTTCAGCTGGAGTCCTGTACTTGCACACTGTGGAGTGGATCTAAACATTCGGTGGACTAAAGGGCACCTCAAAATCTACATACGATCTCAATTTAAATCAGTTTGCAAAGTTTGACCAAGGAATAAGGCTGTGCCTAATGACAATGCAGAACTACGAAAAAAAACTGTTCGTATTGTTTAGCAACACCTCGAAGCACCGACTTAATCTTATCGCCTGCAAGGAGATTGTCTCAACACCTTGGGACGACTACGTCAATCAGCAATTGCAAACACCCCGTCCATTCTCTAATGCGAGGCATCAGTGTGGTTAGCGAGTGCTGCCGACAGTCCAGGAATATCACGCCGGTGCTGAAATCAAGAGTGCAACACCTCGCAAAAAAACACCTCCACGATGTATTTTTACGAAAAACATCCAAAACCTCCATAATCACCAAGTGCATTTGACTCAAGCATGTAATTCACTGGACGAATCACTGAGTCTTCGAACAACAATCTTCCCCAGTGATGAGGTCGTTCGTTCATTTCCGTCCTAATGACCTGCTTCATCGACCTAATTGTCGCATTTCAGTTTCAAAATATTCACAAGTGGTGGCTATCACTGTTTAGCGCAAACCTTGTGCTTTAGGTATCAGCGTCGGGCTATTTTGCTTCGA